TTTCTCAGCACGGAACTACCCCCCCGCCCCCCACCCGCCCACCCCTTTCCCATTATAGTCCATTTTAAGTAAAGTGTAGGCTCTAGGGGGGGGGACGCCTACTACTACTACTACTACTGCTACTACTACTACTACTACTACTAGTACTACTACTACAGTAGTAGTAGTACTACCACCAGTAGCAGCAATAACGGCTGCCACTGCATCATCTACTTCTCCTTCTACGGGTACCACCACTACTACTGCTGCGACTACTGCCAAACCACTACTTAGGTTACAAAGTACCACTGTCGGAAATTGTCAGGACAACTAATCTTTGCCTGAAAGAGTGCAACAAACAAATTCAAGCTCTAAACCAAAAGCCGCGCGATTAAGCCTTAAGCCATCTGAATAATCCCAGACCTGCATAAAACTTAAAAACAGTGAGTTGGGTTTTGAGGATGATAATCATTACCTCGGTGCTAGCTCCCATTTCTGCCAGGACTGTGCGTAGGAGTATCTTTAAGGCTTCAATGCCTTGAAGTGATTGATCATCCGCAGCGCCCTCACGAGGCGAAGTAGCCGGAGCCCGCGAACAATAAGAAGCTTCTCTGCTGCCAAGGCGTCCACACCTGCGACTGTTTCCTTATTCCCTTCTGAGAACCAGTCACCAATGCTGTCATAAGAGCCCCAGTCACGCTTCAGGAAGGCCCTGTGCTCACGAGATTGATGCCCTAGCCCGACTCAACTATAGCTTGCCAAAAACCTTGGGCTCCCAATATGTTATAGTATATTATGGTATATTCTAATATATTATAGGGATAATGGAAAAGAAAATAGAAACTACTATATTTTGATACGGTATGTATAGGGATTGTATGAGCTATAGCCTAAACTCCCAGTAGCCCCCTTAATAACACCTATAGTAGTCCCCTATATACTCCCTTGTATATACCCCATGAAGGAGTTTAGACTATGGCTCATATGGCTCTAGCGGCTATTCTGATGATAGCGGCAATTGTTACCTTCATGTTTTTGGTGGTTTTGAGGCGCTTCCCTGCCTGCCAAGGGTAAGAAAAGTAGAGCCATCCAGCCGACACAAACAAGTGCCAGGTCCATCAGAAACCACACGTCCTGCAGATTCAGCATCCATTGTTATGGCTGTCATCCCTGTAGCCACTAGTATGATGTTGATAATGACATTTTGACGCTTTTTGTTCGCAACGGCTGCTTACTCTCTCTTTCTCCATGTATCTTGGGCCGGTGTGCGAGCCTGAGCCCCATCTGTGGTCTTCTTTTTCCGATCTGCATGCAAGACTTTCTTTTGGATGTGCAACACGGCAAAGCCAGGTTACAGTCTAAAGATTAATGGTAAGCTTTACAGCCCCTTGCCGCTCTAGCCCAAGCCTCATTCCGCTAGTGCACGTTAGGATGTAAACCGCAACGACACCGCCAACCCTGTCGAAAACCAACAAACCGAAAATCATGAGTGAAATGAACGCTCTTGGGGATGAGGTCGATTGCAGAGCGTGGGCAAGGTTGTCGGGCCAAGACTAAAAGCTTGTCACGGTGGTCAGAGAGTTTCATTCTGACCCCGCAACAGTCACCGTGAGATGGCGACAACCATAATTCCAACAATGATGCGGATGCGTAATCCAAAGATGTTGCAAAATTGTGTGCTTTGCAAGGCTTCCTGTGAAATGGACCTACTAGTATGACTGTGAATGCTTATTTGCCATGGGAACAGTCCTTTCACGGTGTGCTCTACTGTCTCTCAACCCTGACATGGCTGTAAGCTTTGCTATTACTTTGATGAAGCAAAACGAAAGCCAAAATTGCATCATGGGAAGTCTCAAACTGTTGTGATTTGCCACTGTCATCATAAAGTTGTCATTGCTAGTTTTACTGCCGATACTTTACTGTAGCTGATTATCGCGCGTACCGCTGCCGCTCCTCTTCTCTCATGATGTTGTTTCACTGTTGAGACTATACTCTGTCAAAACCCACAATCTTGCCCTTAATCGCAGACCATAGTACTCCAACAATCCCCAACACAGAATACTTCCCATGCCAAACTTTGGCAATGATACATACGCAAAACAAGCACGGCGTCCCGGAATATCTTGCGACCACCAGCCACGATGCGAAGAATGATCTCAAAACCTTAGCAAGCCATAGATGCAGATGTTTGGAAATAAGTCAAGGCTTTGGGGTTTGGGGTATGTACTAGCCAGGTCCTGCCCCATTTTTCTCCATGTGGTAAGACATGCTGATGACATGCCTGCATCTTGCTTGTTGTGTACTGACACCCGGTTTCCTGAGCAAGGCGCAATAGATGAGCAGAAAAATTCGCTCCAACCACCAAGGCCAAGAGAGCGGAGGAAATTCCATGGGAACCATATCGATGGACAGCTGTGCCTCTATCCCAATCACGACCAGGTTGGCAAGAATGACGAATCCCGCTGCATACTCGAAGGCCGATGAGTTCACCATGCTCGCAATCTTTTCGTGCATAGACAGCACCCGCTGGCTGCTCTTTGCCATGTGATCGTTGAGGCCCTGTGAAGGGCACATGTGCGCAAACAGAGTCTGGTGACCGAACCAGGGAGCATTCGGGCAAGGATATGGTCTACAAGACGCCGATCAACGTACAATGCACACAGACACTCCAAACTGAGATTGAAGTCACCCATCGCAATTTCAGGGATAAAACTCTACAAGGCCAGGGTCTGCAGCACATCCTGCCTGCTCCACAAGCCGCTTCAGCTTGTTGGATGTCTCAGACTTCTGCTGGGATGATTGAATCAAAGAATGTAGGACGTCACCCTGCTGCTGGGATGATGTGCTCGCGGACTCCTGCACCTTGCCGGAATCCTCAAAGCGGACTTCTGCAGGTGCAACCTCCGGCTGGAGAGCAAACATGAATCACATAGCAAACTGCATTGTCAAGATTGTCATCCAGCTACTCTGGGGAAAACACCATCTACCCAAAGCCCGTCCAAGATCATCCCTGTGGTCCAGTTCACTCAAGGGCGATCAGTTTGTTTCATGGCTGACTCACAGCCGCTGACTCCCGCGTTGCTACACCATCACAAACTGTATGGTCTAGGCTGCGGATGATTACAGTCACGTTCGTGATCGAACTTCCCTGTACAGTATAAAGCTGGGGCATGCGCAACATGCGAGCCTCGTAGTCTGACATGCGAGCGTCGCTATCGGGATCCCCAGACAACATAGGCAGCCGAGGCGTTCGCGTGATCTGCGGATACTCCAAGTTGCGTGCTGGCTCCTGCCAGCATCTCCACCCACATCTAGCATGCTGTCAAAAATCAAGCAAGACCGGCCTCACCCTGCAACTGCAGAGTGTCAATGCGTGCAAGGATGGAGTCCAGGGATGCCTGCCAACCTTCCCAGGATTTCCAGTGCTACCACATTGCTAGCAGCTGCTTCGTCCAGGAAATCGTTTCTGACGAGAGCGCACCGCTTTGCAACATGGTGGACACTCCACCTTGCCTTCATACTGATGTACAAGGTGCGCCAGATTTTCCGCAGAGGCCTTCTGTTGCTGTTGGATCTCAGCCAGTTGCTCCGTCACCTCCCTCATCATGTGAGGCCTGCTTGAATGTGCAACGTGCATCTGCAGTTTGACCACCTGGCTATCAAACTGCTCACCTGAGAAGCGCACGAAGCTCTCCTACGAAGCCGCGCGCTGCACAAACTGGAGGTGAAGCAAATGGCTCCGAAAACGGATCACTTCGTCACTTGCTTTGCGAGTCGCAGTCAAATGCATCAGCGAGCACTGCAGGACTGAGCACAGAAACCGACTCTGCAAGAAGATTAGAAAGCCTTGAGCAAAACCATGGAGAGCCTCTTTTTGAAGGAGCTGCTCCCCGCCTTGAAGCCTCTTTCAAGTCCCTATTTGCTAAAACAGGTAGCGTAGCTACGCCTGGTCGTCCTGATTATCATAGTTTCTAAAGGCTACAACATCGAGGTGCACAGAGATCAGCGGGCGAAGCTGTAGCTGCTTTTTTGAGAAAGCATGGGCGACAAGTCCCGGTCTAGGAGGCTTTCTGGCAGCCTGCGCTCCGTTTGAAGAGCAGCCGTGCGACTTGGGTACTTGCCTGACTTTCCTCTGAAGAATTGCAACGAGATGCCAATACATTCAACCTTTCGACCCTCCGCAGTACCAGCACGGGATGTCTGCCAAAAAGTCGCGGCGGATCTCGTTTGCACAGTCTTGGTCTGGAAGGTCTATCCGTGTCCCCATTGTACCAAAGCATGAATGCCGAGGCGTGGATGGGGCCTCTGCCTATATGGTTAAAAGCTGTGTATAGAAGATGCAAAACAAAAGCTGTGATCTTCCAGCGCGCTGACGTCAAAAAAATCTGATTGTCAGAGTTGTAGCACAGCGCAAAGACAGGCAAAGCATCTCGACAAGCCGTTAGCATTTTGTACGCGAGTTCCAGTTGTGGCCTGCTTACGTAGACAACCCATAATGCAGCTTTGGATGACGAACTGTAGCATACTGTAACTGCTTATGGCCCCCCACTGATTGTGAAAGTGGGGAGGGAGTATAGAACTAGATTACAAACTTATCCGATGACGCGGCCGGCGACTCTGACGCCGAGGTTTGTGGACCCCCTGAACCCTCAAATCTCTCCGACAAGGCGCGCTGTGCTGCAGAAGTCTGGGCTACTGACGAAGCATCTTCGGCGAAGTTGGCTAAGCTCAATCTCGCCTAAGCCTCCTGGCTGGGCGTGCTGGAAAGCTTCAACGGTGTGCGGGTCCGCCGATAGCAGATGTGTCTAACTAGCGAATGTGCGAATGGATTCTTGACGTGGAGCAATTCTAACGAATGCTAGTCTGTGCATGATTCCCGCTTGAATCTTCTTCTCTTCTCGGTAGCCACCCCAGCCGTGAGTTTCTCGGAGGGTGAACGTTGACAAACTTTTCTCTCTGAATCTGGGTCTGCCCAGCAACTCGGCAAAGGTCGGTCTGCTCCCATGTTCCAGACTCTTTGGGCCCACGGGTGGTGGGGTCGATAGCATCAAGGTACAGCCGATCTGGCACAGAGAGGTCTTCCTCACGGTGACACAAAAACGTACAGTCCCGGAGGCAGCCTGGCATGGGGTTATGCAGGGCTTTCTAGTAGGCATCTCATGAAGGTATTTCCCTGAACTCATAATCACAGCAGCCACGGAAACAGGATTTCATGAATTTACGACACCCCGTGTAACGAAGCGAGATCAGCGAGCTCAAAGCAGCTGAACTCTGCAGCAATCAACATGCCAGGCTGCCGGCATTTAAATTTTGCGGCTAACTTAGACGACAAAACCACTGGGAGGGCAGCAGCCAGCACTTCACCAGCAGCTTCACATAAGCTCCTAATTGGCCAACTCCTGCGGGGTGTGAAAGAGTGCGGATCCTTCACATGGCTCCCAAACAAAGGTGGACTGTGTTGGATAATCGATGAAGCCAAGGCTTTGCGCTGCTCCCAGAAACAAAAACCGGCCTGCTTATGAAAAGCATCTCAGTCTTCAAAGGGCAACTTCTTCCTTCCAAGCTCCGCATGGATGGCGACATCAGTGACATCACCCGGAGTTGGGAGTCCACCCCAATACCATGCGGCGCACCTCTACGCATCCTGCCATGTAGCTTTTCAACCAAGCAAGAGGCCTAAACTCCTAAACCCCCAACCCTCAACACAAAAAACTCAAAACCCAAAAGCCTGAAAATGGAAGACTCTGGCCTTCCTTCGGGTTCCCCTCTAACGGGGGAAATCCAAAGCATGCGGAGGATCATGTCGCCACTTTGTTGGGCGAGTGTTTCTCAACTACAGGTGACCTACAACTCGTGGAGGCCTGGGCACAGCATGTCACCACAAAAAGAAGACCTCAAGTCTATTCCAACATCTTTGTCCCAGGACTCTGCTTGGGAAGAGATAGGACGTGCAGTGAATTTGGGATGCAGCATCCCATCGTTGGAAAGTGACGTGTTGCACCTTGGCAGAGCTCGTATACTGAGAGGCTTTGAAAGGATCATCTTACCGCAAGAAGCATTCAGCTTGGATTAGTGCAAAGAGAGGTCTTGGCTGCAGCAGTCACGGTTTTTGCGCGCATGGAAAACTGACATTGTCTGGCAAAGCGGCTTTCAGACAGCAAAGTGAGTCCGGCCTTTGTCCTTCTCAGGCGGCAATGATTTCAGCGGAGATGACTGCCTCCTGAGGAAAATATGTAAAATCTTCACAAGTGCTCTGCACCCTGGTGGTCGCCAAAACTTTGGTTCCGAATGGTACTGGTGTAGCACTGCAAAGCACATGCTTCAAACACGCAAGCTGTAGTCTAAACTCCTCGTATCCCCCTTATTAGCCCTTATTATCCTCCCCTATATAATCCCCTATATAAACCCCCTTTAAGACTGCTCCGCACTTGCGAGGACCCAGCGGAATGGCCGGCGAGGGTCTGCAAGCATTCGCCGGTTCTCGAACTCCAAACCCTGATACATGGTTTAGGGTTTAGGGCGTACAGTTTTGGGTTTCCACGCAGATTTTGCACAAGCTGGAGTTGGCAACTGGAAACTTCAGTAGAACAAGTAGCTCCATCCTACCGCTCGAAACCATATCCGGAGTCTTGCTGAACGTCCTGGAGATTATATTCACTTGGGTTGGGTGCATCCTCAAGATAGGGGCTCCCCTACATACTCCAGAATGTCAGGTTCCTGCCGTGTCCTGCCTTCAAAGCCTAGGAAACCCAGCACATCCTGCTGTTCCTCCGTTTCTTCTCCACATTCTTCTGCAGGTTTCTTACTTTGACCTGTCATCCGATCCTCCTCCTTCATCCTTCCTCCTTCCTCCTCCTCCTTCCTCCCGTCGTTTCGGGAACCCTCGGAACCATTCTTCCTCTCGCGATACTGTAGCACTTGCTAGACCGCTTCGGGAACCGTCGCCTCTACCTTAGAATCTAATACTCTCTAGACCGTCGCCCGTCGTTTCAATGGAATGCCGGGGTCCCTGTGCGTCTTGTCTTCTTGTTTCTTCTTGTCTTTCTTATTATGTCAAATTTCATCTACTAACAGCATGGAAACGCCACGCATCTGAGGTTATCCTGTCCTTGAATTATGGTCTCCAAAACAAGTGCCCGAGGTACCCTGTCAAGCCCCAGAATTGGACCTCAATCCCCCCCACCCCCACCCTCCCCACCTTGCAGTTCCATCATAGGAGGCAGATGCAATGAGCATGCCTCAGGAACCATTTGATTCTTTCTCAAGATGATCCCTATAGGACCCTTTAAGGAGACCACTAGCATCTCTATGCAAACAATGTACACCCTACGGTTCTTGCAAGCGCCACATTTGAGCAAACCCTTGTTTGGAGCTTTCTCGAAATAGGGGTCTAGGGTTAAGAGTGGGAGACCGATATGAAGACAACGTGGGCCCCGGGTTCTGAAAACGTTCTGGGCCAACAAGTCAGCAAGTCTCCGCGGGGATGTCTGAACACAGGATAACTGTCAAAGGGCCCTTGGGATTAGTTCTCACTCTAGCTCCCAAAGCAATCCCCCGTCGGGGGCTTCCCTGGCACAAAGATTCCCATAGACCCCTAGAAAGATTCTCCGCATACGCATCCAGCTTCATTCCGCAATACAAAGCAATTCCTCCGCAGCGCGATTGCTCGTCCTGCTTGATTTTAAAGCCAAGGGATCTCCGTTTGCAGGGTCCAGACTGTACTCCTACTCTGCAGGCTCTCCAACCAAGGGTACCTAAGGGCATCCTGAGTATCCATAGTTGTTGCAAAACTGACTCAGGATCATACGGGGACCTTCCACTCGCATGAAAATTCATTCTTCACGCCTTGCAGTGAAACATCTCCTTTTGTGGCACGGACAAGCGTGAGTTCCGCACCGTCTGGTGAGAAGTTCGCTGTTCTCACCCAGTCTTCGTGACCATCTAAGGTCGTTATGCACTCGCCTTGCGGGATGTGGAATGAGACACACTCTGGCCAGCGGCAGTTCAACAACAAAATGCACTTCACCTTTTTGCAAGGCGCGCGATTTCCGTACCCACCATCAGACGGATAGCATCTACTGCGCTCTTTAGCACGCAGAGGTACTTAGCAATCTCAACCAGGCCTGTCAAAGCTTTAGAAAGGGCCGCAACTGCTCGCAAGCTAATTAACGCGAATTTCAGGGGCCCTCTTGTTCTGGTTGTGCATGAGCAAAAGTCTAAACTCCTAATGTCCACATTGGAAGCGTCTTCATTGAGCAACTCTCACATCCCCCGCCTGTAGTCGCGCTTAACAGTCGGACGCACTCAGTGCCCGAGGCAACCAGAATCATTGCTCCTCAGCTAGGGGTTTCCCAGTGTTCGGGGACCTCTTTTTGGGGTCCCTTTTCGAAGGATCTTTGCATTTTAGGGTCTATTTTGAGGTCCCTGTATTTTGGGAAACTACCAGGTCGAATCTGGCTCCAGGCTCAGGCAGAAAGCACGACGAAGGCTTCAGGATCAGTTCGAGATTTAGGGCTTGGCTTAGTCGTTCTATGGAAAAAGTAGAATCCTGAAAAAGCTATTTACTATGCAAGTAGCATAGAAGGCTTGCCGGCTGGAGGCTCCTTTGCCTGTCTACTTCTTTATCGTTGATAAGCTACCCACACAGTTTATGCTGCAGCGGAGTGCATTCTCAAAGGGATTCTTCATATCCCACACCGCTTGCAGGCAACTCATGCATGGTCATGCCTGTTCAGGAGGTTGCATTATCATCCCTGGCAGCAATAGCCCCTCCCAACATTCTACAAGGCTGCCCGCACAATGGAAAGATGTAGGATTGCTGGGGCTTCTCAAAGCGATAGGCCCTACCATGTAACAATGCATCCTGGGACGTTGTGACATCTACTCAACTCCTGAGTTTTGGCAGATGCCCACTAAGGAGCATGCCGTCTGGCGAGAATTGTGCAGTATTGACCACCTGATGGCAATCTGGCTTCCGGAGGCTGCAGAACAGAAATCTGCCAATGGATGCAGGAGCCGTTGAAAACAATGCTTCATGCTGACCAAACGTCATGAGGGCTGTCAAGGGCATGTCTTGCGTGGGCTGTAGGCTGATGCCAGGTCTCTACACTCAAAAGAAGGAAGCTTCAGCAAGTTGAGTCGGTTCAAGCAGCTACATCCTAACAGGCATGAGGTGCAGCAAGTGCCCGGCTTTGTTATCGGCATGAAGAACCAAATTGCAATCGCCTCTCAGCAAAAAGGCTGTGCGCAAGGCCGCAACACTCGCTGCCTTCCTTTGAATTTGTCTACACTGCTCAAAGCAGAGATCTGGTCCCAACGAAGCGGAGCTGCCATCAACAAAGATCTTCTCAGCAAGCCGGTTGCTGGCCTGAGTCTGCCTCCCACACACGAACCGTCCCGTCAAAGGACGTTGTGAGATACCTCAGCAAAATTCACGGGAAGGCACGTGTTGCTGCATGTCCCGGGTCAATTAGCTCCTATCACGTGTCAGTAGCTTCCCGTAACCTGCGCGTCCTGACAACAAACTACTGAACCCAAGTCTGGCGATACTGCACAACACCACAAGATTGCAACAGTCTACTTAAGTGCCCCAGAAAGCTCATACAAATACGAAAGACTCGCAGAGGCCAGGGATCGGATGAGTGATATGAAGCAACCCAGTTGCAATGTGTCATCAGGGGAGAAAGCTGCACTATTGACAGCCTGTCCAGCAGCGCTCACACGACAGGTCGCACCCACTTATCATCTACGACTAATGCGTTTTCTGGCAAAAATGCTTGTCCAGTCCAAACTGCAAGGATAGACGTGGTCTCACTCACCGCATTCCCAACATTTTCAGTTCTACAGTGGAAAAAACAATCCACTCACCATCTGCAGTCCTTGGCGTGGCCCTGCAGCACTTGCAGGCACTCCCCGGTCTCAACATTCCAAACCTTGGACTGCACCCTCTCTCAAGCGCGGGCTTAGCAATTCTTATCAACGGGCTCCTTAAGGACCGAGGGGGATAGGGGTTTCCGCTTTTAGGCTCAGAATTCAAGCATGGGTTTGCTTGGGACACGTATTCGTGCCTTCCACTTCTGTGTAGCCAACCGGTGCCTGCATTCAAGGATTCTCAAGAAATTGCGCAGTCCTGGTTTTAGGGCTAGACGGAGCCGTTGTGGACCCAGCTGTTTGCGCACAAGTCATTCTGCTGCACGTGCCGCCGCTGGCTTTGGGAGTGCGCCATAGCATCAAGAAGTGGCGGGTCGTGGTCGCGCCGGCTCTTGGTGGTGTGCTGGTTGCCGGCAAGTTTTTTCATGCCACATGCGCATGAGGCCAAAGCCCTCAAGCGAAAACATGCTCACGTTGCAGCCGCATTTGCTGCAACGTGTGCGGGCGCAGGGACGGCCCATTCTGACCAAGGAGTCTTGGCTGTCATCCTGCGCTGGACGATGGGAAACATCCAACAGTGACGGATCTGGCTGAACGAAATGGAGTGCAGAGCTTTAGGAAATGCTGGGTGAGGTACCCTTGGGTCTGGGATGCTCAAGTCCGCGACACACCAAACTAAACATGAGGGGAGTCGGCGATCTAGGCCATTGATCTGCATGCAGTCTCCGACGTGCAAGTCTTCTTGATGGGTATCCCAATGTGTGCAGCTGATCGGGCTACCCAGATACGCTGATAGGTCTATTGCCAAAAACACTCACCTGTTCGAGACCATATTCTGAAGCTAAAGCTTGCACTCTATCTCACCTACAGTACCTTGAACAATGTGCTTTGCGCTGGCTTAGCACTGCGCCACGCACATGGCTGAGCTGTCAACCCGCGCAGTTCCGTCCATGGACGCCGTGATGATGCGCAACCCGTCGAAGGAGAACATTGCAGACTTCACCTCACACGTACAGGTCTCGACAAGCAGACCGAAGATTGGACTTCTAGGTGTGTACATATTGTACTCAAATCCAAAACTTCTCCCATGTGGAGGTGCCCAAAATAAGGATGAATCGTCATTTGAGAAACACCCACATTGTGTGGCAGACAGGCACCCAACAGTCCAAGGCAAAGCAGAAACCGTAGGCCCGCCACCACGTCGTCATGTCCAACCTTGCAATGCTCCATGCTATTCCATGCTACATCATGCTACGACCTACACAATCTTTGGGCTATATTGGGGTTATATTGGGGATATATAATGATAATGGAAAAGAAAATGGAAACTGCTGAGATGTGGCTATATGGTGTCTTAGAATGACTGAAGAAATCTCCGGGCCACTGCCACGGATCCCAGTATTCTCGAGTCGTAGTTTGGGATTCTGATACATCCCCACATACATTGCCTGCGGCTAGAAGGATGCAGGGAGTTGGGTCAAAGTAATGTATGTCAGGGCAGTTTGCACAGCTTCTGAATTGGGACCTTCAAGCAGACAGCCTCTGGAGATAAGATCGGTTTGCCTTTGTCAGCCCAAACGGAGCCGAGGGCTTCCAACAGTCAACTTTCTACCCGAAAATCCGAAAATGATATTGAAGATACTCAGGTACAGAAATTCGGCATGCCGAACCCCAGAATCAGCATCACTCATTCTGTGAACCTGTAATGGGGGGTTGTGTAATGGTTAAAGTTTGTACTGGCCAGATTAAGGCTTGCATCATAGTAGTCGTGTATGAGATCTGTGCGAAGAATCAACTATTAGGAGGGCTTAGGGTTTAGGTTTGTTTGGGGTGCTGTTGGTTGGGATCGTGCGCGGAATGGTTCACAAATCGGGCGCTTGCATAACGTGGCAGATGAGTGCACAGGGTGTTGAGTCTCGCCACATTTCCGGAAGATCATCGTGGCCACAAGAACTAGGGGTTTCCCAAAATTAGGGGTACCATTTTGGGGGTCCCAATCTTAAGGATTATAGTATTTTGGGGTCTATATTGGAGTCCCCCCATTTTGGGAAATTACCACCAACTGACCAATAACGACCCACCATCTTGACAGCACCCTCCATACACTATCCTCATTGTCATCCAGGACACTCTGCAAGATCCTCGGAACCATAAAGCCGACCTACGTGATGCCTCCTAAACTAGCTAGCAGGGATCCCAGCAAAAGATCGTAAACGACTGCCATCCGCCGCCATCCAGAGGCCAGCAGTACCTTGTTGAGGGCTTGGGGTTTACGGCATTTTGTGTTGAATGTTTAGGTATTGAAGGCCTGTAAGTAGTCGGGGCTTGTCTAATGAAAGTAAGGGATCTGTGTGCTACCCAATGGGCATAGGCAGCATGACAGCGCAAAAGAGAAGTCGCATAAGTCACAGCTCCCCTTCAAGCAACAAAGGATGCTGAGAATTGCTGGAACGAGCACAGCAACATTGTTAGAAAAACGTTGCCATCCTTCCTGCCCGCACAAGTCGATCCAGTCATGGAAGTCGCACCATCACAGGATGCTGTGACCACCAGGGATGCGTCAGGGGAGAAGGCAGCTGACTTGACCTTTCATGGAGAGCAGCATTTCTAGCTACAGCAAGAGCTTCTTCTCATTTGCGTGGGTTTTTCGCCTGTTTTCAAATATTCGCGTGTAGCGGCCGCAGACAAACAGGCAGGCATGGCATCATCATCATGTCCGGAAAGGACTTGCGAGCATTTGCCCGTCTCAGCACTCCAGACCTGGCTCATCATGGCTTGTTGATTCGTCTCAAGAAGTTAGATGCAGTCACCTTGCTGAGACAGACTTGGAGAAGGTTCTCATTGTCAGAACCCCAGAAGCTGCTTGTAAGCAACATGCCAAAGGAGCTATAGCGGTGCAGTCATCTGATGCACCAGTAATCCATTTGCTATCCGCTGAGAACTCACCGGACCTTGGACGGCTTACAAAACCAAGCAGTGTGTCATGGCAACGCGACCTGCTGCTGCTCAACTGAAGGCAGGTGTTAGCCGAGTTGCAGCACTCCTCCTGCTTGTCCATTGAGCTCACACAGCAGCCGTCCACTTTCTGGGCACCTTGGATGCGAAAGGATAAATGTTTCGAGATGATCAGCTGTTACAGTCTCTTAGCGCACCCCATACTGAGCACGCAGGCGGGCTCGCGGATTAGCAAATGCCCAACAGAGAGTGATAGTGGTGTTCATTTCATGTTCCATGGTCTTCTCCATTTCGTTCTCCGTGATTGGGGCAGTATCCCTAACCTCTACATGATTGTAGGTGTTCAGGCGCAGGCTGGTTGATGGCTGGGCTTCCTGCCATAACTTGCCCTCGCCATCTAGCGACACGGTGAGCAGCATCAAGCCGTCATGTGAAAACGTCGCAGACTGGACCTGCTTGCAATCTTGCAATCACATGAGACCTCCGGGGATCATGGAACATAGTTGTGACCTTGGTTGTGCAAGATGAAAGCTGCCATAGTCATGCTGAGAAGCCCGAATAATCGCAAATTGCACGCCTACTGCCGCAGGCCTGCCCTCCGCGTCGCGCGACGAGCATCTTGCGGCAATCGCCATTTTGCAAGTACCTGGCAGGCAGCACCTACCAAGTTTCATCAAGAGCAATCGGAAGCAACGCAACCAACGCTCGAGTTCAACTGCTACAGAAAGAAGGAAGCCTAGCGCTGGCTGCTCGACTGCATGGTGTATCAAAAAGCTGTGACTTGCTTGGTATCTTAATTTGTGTCTGAGCGTGTACGCAGGCATCATCCGCCTGATATTAGTACTGAGTACTCGTTCCTTGTCAATTCTGAGCTGGGCTCACCATATTCGCGCGGTCCCGTCGAAGGACGCGGTCAGCTGAAAGCAGTGGCAACAGTTGCGAGATCAGAGCTTCAATCAGAGCTTCACTGGCAGCAAGTTACCCCAAGGCTTGCCCCAGTACGAATGCAGCGCACAGCTGGCGCTGGGGCCCCGACGCAAAGCAAAGGCGTCTGAACCAGAAAGACCGTATCACCATCTACGAGACCTCGTCACAGTCTCATTGCTTTGGCAGCCGGGTTTCTGCACAGAAAAGGAAGGTGGTACCATTCAAGTTCCCAACCAGAGTCCCGAAGGCTGACCTTCTCATCCAACACCTGGCTGTTGGCAGGAAGGTAGCCGAACCTAGTTATTTTTGCAACCGAAACAAGGCATCACATCTCGAATTCTCCAAGTCAAGAGATTCGTGCAACTGGCTGCCTGCGACTGGAAAAGAAAATGGAGAGCGACACCTCCGTCACCTGAGCACATCTCTGAAGAAAACCAGCTGGGCATCTCTGGGCAGGGCCACCTCAAAAGCCTGCAAGGGCAATGAACAGTCAAGATTACTCGAGATTAATGGGACACAATGGGACCCAGGCCGGTGGCTCTCAAAACATGCTCTCGCAGGTAGGCAGGTGTGTCGGACGGTCGTGCCCGTACCTGGCTGCAGAGGTGGTCAAAGATTCCGTTTAGTAACGTTTTTTTGGTTGAGCCGAGTCAGATCATATTCCTTATATAAAATACTGTACCCCAAAAGGAGGATAGAATCTTACTCTACGTTGGGTACCAAAGAATCCCCCAAAAAATGCTACTCCTTTGGTGTCAAGTCCAGCGGGCTGCACCACTGTGAGGGTTTCTCCACTAACAGCATGCCGAACCGAGATAGAAAGCTCCTGCCAGAACCAAGTCTGTGCGGGCATCAGCGCATGGGGCTCAATTGAGGTCCTGCCTAAAATTGCAAGATCCAGCTTCAGTCACACAACCAATGCGGTCCTTTCCGACTTCGTTTTCCAGCTCTGCAAGCTTCGTCCTCACATCATCGAGCGTATCCTCCCAGTCAAGGCAGGCCAGGCTGGGCACAAGAACCACAAGAGCTGCGTCATGAGATTGATCGTGGAAGCTGAGGGGCTTTGGTTTCGAGGAGCTTTTTGAGAGCTTCGCAGCCATACAGTGAAATCGGTAATTCATAAGCAGCGTCCTGTTCGACACCTGCAGCCTCCGCGCGCTCCACCGCAAGCCGCAAGTTCTCCAGCGGGTCTCGCTGAGCCTTGCAGTTGGACCGAAGTAGGTTCTTGAAGGCCACTTCTACCAGCGAATTTGCGCCCACCTGAGAAAAAGAAGCGATGATGATGCCCATGACCTGCCCCATGGCTACCTCACAGCAACAGAGAGGAGGCTCAAAGGTTACTTTCAAGGAAGCAAGGTAGGCTCCTAATTCGAAAGATTTTCTGAGAGACACACAAGACCGCGGCGGCTAGCAAAAGATGCTGCCTGCAGCAGAGATTGGATTGATTGACAGGTGCATAAGCACTATACGAGCATTCTTAGGGCTTATTTTTTACTGCAATAGGCATCTCGTAAAAAAATAAGCCCGTGGTTTCCGAAGATGAGATGCACATGTGCACAGCCTCCTCCTGCCGATGGGAGCGGTTTGTTCGGTCTGTATGGAAGAGGGCATGCTCCCTCTGGAGCCGCCAGCAGCTGCAGATAGTAAGAGCTATTCAAGGATGCATGCATTCAAGGAGCAAGGTGTGTTGGCATCAGTGTCTCCACCCTCGAGACACAACATGCACAACCATCACAAGCCTTCAGTCTTTTCCTCTGCGTAAACCGATCCGCGCTGCACACTGTGGTTAGCATGCGGCACATCATTGTGAATGGCTTCTTGCCAATTTGGACGAGCACTTCCGTGGTGATGTGCGGCAGGAGTCATCACTATGGCAAACTCCTCTCTTGGAGCCAGAGGTCTAGCATTAGCAGCTCTGGGGCCTGCTTCGCTCCACCTCACTTGGCAGGCCCGTGGAGAAGACTGACCTGAGCATGAGGCGTCCACAGCCAGGACCGGCTTCTTTGGTTCAGGACATCCAGCTGCGCACTGCGCACTGCTGATTACACCACCCACAAGTCCGTCAGGAAGAATGCTTACATCATCTTACATCGAACCCGGAGACTCGGCCATAACTGCACATGATCCTCAACTCGGATTCTGCAAAAATCCTTAGCTAAGTTGCAAGTGCCCTGAAACCACCTAGCAGCAAGCAGGTCAACCCCAAGCCCTCGCCAAGCTGCAATCGCTCGTGCTGCCTCATCAACCACAGAGGCTGCCTGCGCCTCGCACAAGTAACCCCAGTGGTGCGAGCGCCGAGAAGAATAACATGGTAAAAGAGCAAGATGCCAGGTTACTAAGACGCCAACAAAAAGCAAGAACCAAAACCAACAAAAAAAGCACCATCAGCAACACCTCCTCTCAATCCCTATCCCGCCTCTTGGTTCGCTGCTGGCTTCCGGCCTGCTCTTTGAACGAAGCCCACAGGGGCTTGTGCCAGCTACAACTGCGAAAGCTGAGATCCCAACTGCTGATCTCTGACGGCGCGGACCTGACTGAAGGCTCCAACAAATATCGGAACTCATGTCGAAAACAGAGATGATTTTTTCGGACCTAAGCTGCGACAAGACTTGGGTCATGGCTCGGAGGCCGTTCGGACATAGCTTCTAGCCTGGTTCGTCAGGCACGCCAGACTCGGTTGACCGTCAAGCACGGGCTTCATGCTTCACAGCAGTCATGTAAGGCATACTGATCATGGCTGCGCACAGCAAAACTTTGCCTCTCCAAAGTCGACTGGAGCAGTCCAATGATTGGCACTTGCTTGCGTCAAGGGCCTGCCAATGAAGATCTGCAACGATTGGCGTGCAACGTTTGGGGTGTATTCCCAAAATAAGATTATGGGTAAGTCTCGGGTGGTTCCCCATAATAAGGATTATATCATTTTAGTGTTTATAGTCCGGTCCTACTAGGGAAACTAGCATTTAGTGCACTTTGCTACTTGCAGGATTACCCTAATATTGAGCTATTCATAGCTTCAACCCATCAAGCCAGCCTGTCGAGTAAGTTAGTTGTCACACCCACTGGTGGCCGCATGATCGGGTACCTTGCGGGCTCTGGGCGATTGAAAACTGAAGACGATATTTTTAAAAGCTTGGAAGCCAATCAAAATCCGCATAACAAATTGCGTGCAGACCGATGTTCGCAAGTTCTTGCTTGTCCTGGCGAATGCTCCTAACCGTCCTAGCTGCTGTTTGATTGGATGGCGAAATGACAGCAAGGTGCGTTCTGGCATGCCCCGTCATTGCCAACTTTCTGGCAGCAACAATGAGGTCTGTTAAGGACCAACCCTCTGCTCATCTGAGAATGCGGAAGAGGCGCATGTGAGACTTAACTGGGGAGGCGAAATTAGCAGGAACGATAATATGAGGAAATCAATACTCTGGAAGGTCGGCGCCATGGCTTACTGACACCCGCCACTGGTGGGCTTTCTGGAAAATTTTGATGCGCGTGAAACATCTGCACAAATCTGGCTAGTTACTTGATAGAAGGCTGCCCAAACACTTGGAAGTGTTAAAGTGCTTGTATCCCAGCAAAGTACGCTGACCCTGCCGACAGGCACTTCCGTTCTGCCATCTCCTTTATGCGCCGGCCAACTTTGAGCTAGCTTCAGCCCCAGTCACAGAGGCAGGCTTTCCAGCAGCAGACTTGCAAGTGACTTGGTGGCAGGAGGAGCAGCAAAGGGGACCGAGGAATGGTGAAGGAAGACGTGCACTTTGTCGTCGCTGCAGCGAGTGTACCTGCAGGTGTACTCTACAGCCGAAACGCGCGCAGACGACTCATACATGCCCATGACAAGGACGACGCCACCCTTCAGCTGCCCCTGTGGCTCTTGTACACGCAGGAAGCCCAGCCCTTGCCGCCGTTGACGGCGAAACCACCGGCGTCCTGGTAGCCACCCTGAACCACATTGCCACCGACGAAGTAGGTCCAAGGGCAGCCGCCATCACCAACATCTCCAAGATCCATAAGCAGACTATGACTACATGAAGGGGTCTGTTGACGCAGCGTACAGGTCTAAAGGAAGATGCGCACTTTGCCGTCGCTGCAGCGAGTGTGCCAGTGCTGGTGTAGGTGAACAAATATAGGTGCCCAGGAGCAAGGCCGACGCCACCCTGCACATGGTGGTTCCTGTACACGCAGGAAGCCCAACCCTTGCCGTTTTTGATGGCGAAACCGCCGTCCTCCTGATAGCCACCATCGCCACCCACGAAGTAGGACATGGCCTCCTCAGCGGTGGGGCGGAATCTGTACTCAGCTGCTTTGAACATCACGTTAGCCTCGAGGACCTCGGCCACAGTCACAGCGGCAGGCTTTCCAGCAGCAGACTTGACAGTCACTTGGTGGCAGGAGCAGCGGCAGAGAGGACCGAGGAATGGTGAAGGAAGATTCGCACTTTGCCGTTGCTGCAGCGAATGTACCCGAAGGTGTACTCCACAGTGGAACTGCTGCCAGTTAGCGGAGGTCAAGTCATAGGCGCCACCCTGCAGCTGCACTTGGTGGTTCTTGCACACGCAGGAAGCCCAACCCTTGCCGTTTTTGATGGCGAAACCGCCGTCCTCCTGATAGCCACCTTTCACGACATCGCCACCCACGAAGTAGGACATGGCCTCCTCAGCGGTGGGGCATAATCTGTACTCAGCTGCTTTGGTAGGCGTGAACATCACATTAGAGTAGCCATAAGCGACGACCTTGTAGTCCCCGCCCTGCTTGTGGATCTTGGAAATGCGATGGCGGCGGTCCATATGGATTTAACCTCGAGGACCTCGGCCACAGTCACAGCGGCAGGCTTTCCAGCAGCAGACTTGACAGTCACTTGGTGGCAGGGGCAGCGGCAGAGGGGGCCGAGGAATGGTGAAGAAAGATTCGCACTTTGCCGTTGCTGCAGCGAATGCTGCACTTGGTGGTTCTTGCACACGCAGGAAGCCCAACCCTTGCCGTTTTTGATGGCGAAATCGCCGTCCTCCTGACAGCCCCACCCTTCACGACATCTGGACATGGCCTCCTCAGCGGTGGGGCGGAATCTGTCCTCAGCGGCTTTGGTAGGCTTGAACATCACATTAGAGTAGCCATAGGCGGCGACCTTGATGTAGTCCCCGCCCTGCTTGTGGATCTTGGAGATGCGATGGCGGCGGCCCATATGGATTAAACCTCGAGGACCTCGGCCAGGTGAAGGGAGAGCCTCGTCAAACCTGTCAGCCGCGCGGGAGCTCTCGGGAACAGAGCAGCAGGCACAGAAGAAGTCCATGGTGCACTATGTCACTGCATGGCCTACTTTTTTCCACAACTTGAAACGGAGACCCTTGAGCCGAAACAGGTACGAGATTTCCCCAGAATTTGAAAGAGAACGGGTGCATTTTGAAGCAAACCAGAAAGCGAAGCGAGGGAGCTCAGCTTGGACTACTTGGTTTATGCACGCGGGAGCCTACTGCATCGGATCTGCAAAAGGCCCCATTCCGCAGGCACAACTGCTGCATAAACTCTATCAAGACAAAAAGAAACATTTTGCATACGGCGCACACGCCCTCAGCCTGGACGACGTCTGAAGGCTGTGCCGAATAGACACGGCTGGGCCTGTTTGCGGAGCTGGAGAAAAAGAGACATTTTCTTGGCCAAGTCAGGCCTCAAGCGTTCCTATTCCCAAGACCCTGTAGAAGAGCGAGCTGCAATTTTTTGAACCCATAAACCTTCTGCAATCACTGGCCGCAATGGAATGAGAAATGTCTTATTTGAAAGACTGCTGTGTCCAGGCTATGACGACTAATCACTACTCATATTCCTCCCCTCTGAAGACATCCAACACCCCAACTACGACGAGAACGTGAAAAAATACGAACCTCTGCACGCTGCTACGATGAATGATTGATGATACCTGCTGTCATTATCTAAGTAAAGTATGTATGCCCTGTTTCAGAGACCTGTCAGCATATCTAAGGGCCACACTGCAGAATTGCATTGGAGTGCACTACCCGACCAGACACCTCCGCAGGATTGCACGAACCTACACACGTTGCTGATGAAGAGCAAGCTAATCACGAGAGGAAAAAGGTAAGAAGGAGCAGCGGCAGCAGCGGCCGCCGCCGCCGCTGCTGCTATCATTGCTTGTAAAGCAGCTTTGCGATTGCAAATTCTTGAAAACTGTCTGAACCGGTTCGGCCGCATGATCTGGCAGAACGGCAGGCAGGCCACGCAGCCAAAAAGACGTGAGCTGTGGTCAGCATGGTTAGGGTGGCAACATGTCTGCTGCTGAAGGCACTCGCCTCTGGGGCCCCCTCCTGCCAGAAGATTGTTAAATGGTTTAGGGTTTCGGGTTAAGGGTCTCCCAGTAAATCCTTGACTAGCTAGCAGTAGTGACTAGCACGTTCACGATCCGTTTCTCAGGCTTTTGCTACCGGTCCCTGAAGAGCGTCTCGCCAGGATTGTCGAGTGACTTATCTATTTCACCTCTGGATACGCATCCTGAGCTTTGCGGACTTGTATGCCATCCACCATCCCAGAAAGCCAGAAGTCAAGCAGGCAAAGCACCTGTGGAACCTGTTGGCATGCATGAGAAAGCACCTAAACAGTCCACCCCACAAGCAATGGTCCTTGTGCTCTTCCACTGTTGGCGGTGAAGGCACCCTGCGGAAGCCAATTACCTGCAAACTGCGTTTCGGCCAGCAACCTACAAATCAGACTGCCTGCTGCTGAAAGTCCGCAATCACAACTGAAAGAGCACTGTAACGCAATCTGAACTTTTCGGGGACCCCGCATGCAGCTGGACACTAGCTGCGACACCCCTTGTTCCGGAGCCTTCGAACCTGGCGGCAGCCCCGCAGGCACCTGGTAGTTCGGGTCCGATGTCTCCTGCAGATGCGATCTGGAATTTGGACAGAAACTCTGGTGGTGCATCGAAACCCAAACAAAGGAATGCCAGCCAGCTGTCGCAAAGCCCGTAATCTTCTGGCTGAAGTGTGGCGGGAGAGCAGTTCTTAGGAGGCCAGGGCCAGAGCCTTGAGCTGAAGAGCCAAGCAAACGCATAAAAGTAGGAAAGACAGTCCCTCTTCAACTAGTCAAGCGGATACCACATCCTGACATGTACTGCAGCTGCAAGTTGGTATGAGCTCTAAGAAACCCTAAACCCCCATACAAGCGGTGCCTCCGGAGGCCAACCCACCTGCCGATCAGCCTGCCACCTGGTACGGAAGGAAGTGTCTGGGCAAGGACCCCAAAGAGTAGTAGAAACATTACCCCTGTGATGAGGAATCAAATTGACAAGGGAAAATCAAAACGAAGTGGTTTGTCAGTGTGTCATGCTTCCCACATTGTTCATTGTGCTGATTGCACTGTTTTGATTTTTGCTGTCAGCAAGTATCTCCTCCTACTGGGGCTCAGCTGCCCCGGTATGACATGATGTGACCATGCTAAAGGAGTTTCCATGTGAGAGTCACGAGGCTCAGTCAATTACCGCCGTTTCTCCTCATGAGATTTATATGTACATCTTCATCCCAAAAACTTGCACCACACTAAGCACGTCAAATCCTAGGGTCCTAGGGACCTTTCAGAATCCATCCATGAACCTCATGATCCTGAGTTGGCGGCGCAGGACGTGGGCCAAGCGTGCCTCAGATGAGCTTCTGTAGCTCCTACGGTGATGTAGGCGCCTTTGCGGATAAAAACCAAAATACACATGCCGCGGCCAACCAATTGCTCAGCACAGTCGCACTCGCGCCTAGCAGCATTGCCTGATTTTGCTGACGCACTGAAGGCATCTGTACAAAGCAAAGGACCTCAGAAATTGAGCCATACCACTGCACAAGGCTCAAAAGCATTCCGTAAGAAGGAATGCTCAGTAAACCATCATGCTGAATTGTTGAACATGTCATCCCGCATGAGCACCCTAAAGAATTTCAGATCTCAATCTAATTGTTCAGCTTTTGACAGAATCTGAGAAAAGGCATGACAGCAACGGGTGGTGAGTCTGCACCACTCACAATGCCAAGCGTTTTCTGTCCAAGACTCACGGGGCGCTGCCGCCTCACTTGGTCTTCTCTCTGATCTGCACCTGAGCCTCGTTGATCAAATACTCCAAGCTGGCCGGCATAAGGGTCGTGTCCATGCTGGCGGGGATCCCTGTCCTCCGTGAAGCGGTTCCGGGCCTGGGCGGCTCCTCCCCTCTGTTCGTCTGTGAGTGTGAGGAGGAGGCCGGCTGTGAGGTCGGGCCTGGGAAGGCGATAGCCGTCTCCAAACGGGTACATCTCGCCACCCATGCTGCCCATGCGGCCATCTCTAATGCTAGACATTGTTCCGAAACACCCTGCAAGAAGCCTTCAAGAAGTGAAAAACCAATTCTCGTGACAATGTTGACACTTACATTGTTCCTACCATCATGGTTTTCATTCTCGTCAGGGCATTGATACACCCTTGTGCACCCAACAAACGTGGGCTGCATGGCATGCTCTGGGAACTCCTGCATAACTGCCAAAAAACATTGGAGACTGGTCTGGAACTGAAATCTGGGCAGTCCCATTGCACTCCATGCAAAGACCCAGCTACCTTTACAGTCGGGCTCAGTAGGGGTTCTCCCTGTAAAAAGCCATCATTTGAGACCCCGGGCCAAGCTTCATAGCCAACTTCTGCATCTGCACAGCCTTCCGTTCCAAGATGGTCGGCATAGCGGGCTATGCAGGACTTTGGATTTCTAGTACTATACCTATTACTCTTACTCTTACAAGTATGATTACTATCACTATCACTAGTACTAGCTCCTGGACTTAGGCGCTTGTTGGGGCTGGGTTCAGGACTTGGGATTCAAGGTCCCTGGCCTTCTCAGAGTGAGCAAATGGCATCGCTGGCTGTCCGCTGGAGCTCCAATCGCACCTCGTCGCAAACAAAACATGGGGGTTCCCCAAAATTAGGCTACCATAAAACAGGGTCTCCCAAAATTAGGGGCCCCGTTTTAGGGGTCCCAATAATGAGGACTATAGTATGTTGGGGTCTAGTTTATGGAAACTACCAGCCGTAGGCAGCAGAGCAAGTAAAATGACAACATCAGAAAATCAAGGCAACATTGACATGAACTAGTGGCCATAGAAGTATCGTGCATGAATCCTCAGTGGGCGTTGTGAAGCATTCGTTGACTTGAGGTACCGGCACACGGTCACCCTTCAGCACACGCTCCTTGATAACATGCAAGTGTCGCAAACAATGCAAGCCATCTCTGACATCTGACTGACAAACCACTCACGTAACAGAAAAAAGGTGCTGCTGCCACCCTTTCCACCTCCACATCTGCAGCAATCTCCTCTGTACTTTGCAGGGAGCGCTGATGTTCTGCTCGCAGCCTGTGCGCATAATGTGCGCCGGAACTCAAAAACGGATGAAGGTCAATGGCCGCATCACAGACAAGCAGCCACAAAATACAGACCCTTTTTGGCCAGCCAGACCACGATAGAAAGAGATGACATTGACTATTGAGTCGTTGCTACGTGGCTCCACACATGCTTGCGCAACAGAAGGCACAGGTCACAAGTTTGTTGCGGATGATGGACGTGACATAAGTCACTGTGCATGCTCTGGTAATTCTGCAGGAGGATATTTGATCCGCGATGGGAACCCTCAAATCAGAATGTGCACATAGCTACCCACTGTGCCAGCGCCTCTCGGCTACGATGAGAAGATACTGCCTCAGGAGACGGCACTGCACACAAAGCATCGCGTAAAGCTGCATGGCATTCGCGCTCCCAGTTGTATGGCGGATTGCACATCAGAAGAGGGTCTTTCTGGCTGCAAGTGAGGAGCAACTCGGCGTCGCGTCTCTTGACTTCAGCTACCAGCTGCGCCTGCCAGCCATCAGGCAAACGAAGCGGCATTCGTCCGGTCTCTTGGAATTCTGTTTGAGGCATTCTAAAGTCCGCTGCACCTTCTTGAGGGCCATCTCGTCTTTGTAGCCCCCAGCCTGCCACAGACTCTGCAGACCCTCAGTTGGAAACGAGGTGCTTGAAACCGTGTCCGCATGTGCTGGGCTTGCCTTGACATCATTGGGCCACTCAGCAGCTGCTAAAGACTTGCTTCAGGGCTTCAGCAAGTGGCGCAGGTGGCACTTTGTGCCCAGGCTACGTCTGAAATGTGATGCGAACCGTCAATGAGTCCAGCCTGCTTAACGGCCCAGCGATATCCATCCTTCATCACCAAGCAGCTGCACGCTTTATCACCGAACAGCTTTTTGCGAGCTAGACGCAAACAGAAGTATTCTCTTAGACAAACGCAAAGCTGCAGACAGCTCACGATAGGCCTTCGTTTCGAGCAGGGAAATCCAGCCACTTGGATTGTCGATCTTCGCTCGAACCTTGAATAGCCGGGGTCATTCTTGAAATTCCTGCATTCACGGGATTCCGCTAGCCTAGCAAGAATCTGGAATAACAAGGACCAAGGCTGGAGCTGCTACACAAAGATACGCGAAATAGTTTCATATTGTGGTTCCAAAGCTTCTAGAAAACGGGGGGCCTAACGCTGCTCACAGGAAGACGTGATCACTGGTAAAACTGCTTGCCCGCCAGAGTCCCCATCGAGTTCCCGGCTCTGTCAACATGAGGCATTGGCACAACCTTGCACCCGGCTGGAATGTCGAAACATGCGCGGGCATCCATCTTAATGGAATACCTTTTACCTCGTAGCCCAACTGATGCAAGAGAGATCTCAGAACAGAAGGACTGCTGCACGAAACAGCAAGTGCTCCATCGATGCCTCCAGGACATGGACAACCTCGCCAGCTGCGAGCTGCGCGACCTGAGTCAGAAGAGCAGCGCCAGTTGAGTACTAGCCGGCCCGTCAGTAATCTTGAGGACGGCAATGGATACACGTGACAAGCTGGCGCAAGATCATCTTAGTTCTACGGATACTTGAGGTCTGAGGGAAGAATAATGAGGGCTACTGAAAGGGGCTGCCAGGTTCATCTTCAGAAGTGAGGAGGACGTCTAGTCGGGGTCCGCGCCACCGGAGAATCCAGCGACCTCAGCTTGCAACAGGCAGGTCTTTACTATCAATGACAACTGAAGGTTTGACTCTGCTCTTCTTTGTGAGACGTCCCAAGAAGGATCCTGATTCTCCTCCTCCAATCCTTGTAACTGCTGAGAATCTTAGCTTCTTCGCTGGCAGTAGACTTTGGACAGCATAGTATCATGAGCCCAGCAAAGCTGCAAAGCACTGCCTTAAGCTTAAGTTCAGCAAGAGATACCGCAATCTGAGTGCCTGGGCGCGGCTTTCCTGACGGCCGCATTGTTGTGGACAATGCAGTAGTAGCCCGGCAGGTCTTCCTGTGCACTTGGAAAATCTCAGAGAATCTTGAGAGCATGCCATCCTAACTCACCGCCATGTCTGTCTACCGCCAGTGCCTCGAAGTCCACTGTGGCCTTTGGTGACCGCGGAGTCCGCGGAGACACTGACATAGCTAGGCTCAACTGAGCATCGACGAAACGACGAAGCACGCCGCTCTAAGCTTAGGCTTGCTTGCTTTACATCTTTTTGGCTTTATGAGCGCCCCATGAAGGGCCAATCTAAACCTACTTGTCAACCTTTTAGGCTGATTCTTGCGCTGCCATCATAAGGCTTATGTCCTGGATGCGGCGCAAATACAAGCTTGCAAGATGGGCTCATGCCAGGCTCAAACCCTGCAAACTGCCAGTCGTGCAAGGGAAGCTTTTGCGCAAGAAGCAGCTGCGGAGCTCCGTGATCTAGCTGCGCTTGTGCGCGAAGGAAAGTGAGAAGGCTATGACAAGGCAAGCCCCACACAAGGCTGGAGAGCCTCGAGAGCTGTGGGCTCGGGATCGCAGGCCCCGGCGCCCTCCTCCATCGTGCACCTCCATGCTCTCACATCTCAGATGCTTTTGGTACCTTCTGCGCGGGAACGCCTGGACTGCATGTCTGCTCACGTGCAAACGTGCAAAATCCTGTTGAGCTGAAACACTGAGGCGGCGGCCTGCCCCAAGTTCCCGTTGAGCGCTGCAACACAGCTGACTCCTTCAGATTTGAGCTTAAGAGCGAGACGCCACTGCAGAAGCTTTCAGGTTGGAATCTCCTGAGGCCATGGCCGGCCAGGAAACACCTCTCATCCTTCCGTCAAGACTTTCTCGAATTTACGCACGAAGCTTCGAGTGGGCGATCATGGTCATTCATGAATTCATGTACCTGGGAGCACTAACCTGTACGCAGTTTGTTGGCATTCGTTTTGTTCCTTGGCGGCCTCTGCACGTCAGATGTTGAACGCAAGAGCCCGGGGCCCAACGACGCCGGCTCCTCTATCAAAACTGGCGCAGGGAGCCAACGCAAGAGAAGCATGGCCAAACAGCCAGAAAGCAATAGTTTATGGTCGAGCATATGCATCCAACATGAGTCCAGCTGGACCAGCTGCGCAGCCAACTGCCATCAGGTCAGGGCTGGACTCATTCTGCCGTGATGCCTTCCTAGATGATGAAACAAAGGTAGACATGATGCATCATGATGCACAAACACACATGCTCTAAAGCCGTTGGGATCGCACCAACCACCAAGGTCATTATGCTCGGTGGGTCCTTGAAATCTAGTGCATGTTTGCCGGTCCTTTCCCGGGGGGGGGGCCTTTTGGCCTCTGTCTCAGCCAGCACCTGTCAGGCTTGAGGAGTACTGCGACAAGCTGGACCTCAAGTCTCAGCAATGTACCGCAGCGATCCGCAGCGTGCAGTGCACTATGAAGCAAACGAGACCTGCAGCAGGTAACCGCCCCCCCTGCAGATCTCTTTGAATTCAGGTAGAGACACGCATTCTGAGCGGCCTGGAAAAACTGCGTTGAGCAGTGATTGCGCACCCCTGCCAGACCTTCAGCCGTGGCGAGTGCCGCAGTTTGAATTCAGAGGCCAGAACAAGGCTTGACGGCTGCCCGTACGCACGAGTTCCTGAAGGCCTCAAGTGTCCTACGGGTAGGCAGTTCCCTTAGCAAACCGCAGGCAGATCTTAAAAGAGCAAGTACCCGCGCAGAGGCCCAAGCCCCAGAAAAGCAAAACCGCGCAAACAGCAACGAGCTAGAACTCATGCTGCGCCATTCCGGCACGTGCACGCCAGCGCCTGACCATGTTGTCAACAAGCCCTTTAATCAGAGCAAGCTCCTTCTCAGACTTGATTTCATTCATCTTATGGCGCACATCTGCACCGGACACGGGAGATGCGGTTGTAGCAATGCGCATTATGGACTGGGTACGATCCATGCGGTAGCGGAGGATGCCGAAGCTGACCCAAGGCCAAAACCTTGCAATGGACCTTCCCATCTCGTGGAACATGACAAAAAAGGCCACCGCCCGATGTAGCGAGGCAATACGACTCTCATACAACTGCATGGAAAGAAATTGCGTTTCGATGATCTGAACATGTTGCGATGGATCTGCATTGCGCAGAAGGCTTGCTCCAAAGACTTCCTCGGCAGACTCCACCACTTTCATGAGCCCAACCTTGGTCGTTGTCGTTTTGCCTTCTGCCAGCGAGAGCAGTCCTGCAAAATTCATTCGGTAGATGGCCTTGCAGTCTGACGGATAGATCGCACCGCTGCTATTCGCATCAAAACGCTCGAAGACCTGTAGTGGGAGCAACACTCAAAAAACGGTTCGCATCACGAAGGCCTATTGAATCTATGTCTACTGCCCTGAGTTTCTCCATGCGTGTCAGGGCACTCGCAAGAGGCTCTTGCGATCCACCTTGTCGTCCCGCAACTGCCGGAAGCCCTTCTCGAACCTGGATCGCGCATTGAAGGGTCTTGGCTAGGACTTACGTCCGCGCAGGTGGAGGATGTGCAAGCCAAGAACCTGTTGCTGGTCACCAGCCTTTGCCCTCTTCCTTTGTCCAGCCAGCGGCTACGTCATTGCTTTGTCGGGTGGGGGACTTGCCTCCAACCTCTTCATTGCTCCGGTGTGGGAAATTGCAAATTTGTGGACGGTTGCTTTGCACTGGGTGCACAGCTTCAGGACTATGCAGCGCTGGGTTCACCATTCAAAGCCCCCTCGCCGGAACTGTCTCCTCTCTTTCCCATGGCCTCTCTCTCTCTTGCTGCCTTAATCTGTTCCCCCTTGCTTACAGAAGTCTCAGGCTGCTTGGCCCCCTGACCCGTTCCCTTCCGGCCCTCCTTTCCCTCGCTTATTCTGCTCGAAGGTCAAACTTGGGCCGGGAACGGGACATGTGAATTGTTCTGTTGAAGCAGCCCGCCGGCACTCCCTCACTGGTGCCCCGCCCGCCTCCTTCCCGCATGCTGCCCAGCCCAGCTCAGCCGGGGCGGTTGGTGCGAAGCGTTTTGAGTTTTGAATCCTGTGCCCCTCGCCCAGCAACACGCTCATCAGAACCCCATTACATGAGCAGCTGCAGCCAAGAAGCTCCTTGAAGGTGACCTGCTGCAAGGCTTAATCAAATCTCTCAATACCGGGATGGGCTTGCAACAGGAATAGGACCACAAAGACATTCATACTTGCATGTCTTGGCGAGGCAGTCTGCTGGTGTCTTTCAAGCTTTGGCTTCAAGATTTCGGGTGCTGCAGTTACGGCCATGTTATGTGTCTGGGGCCACTTGGCAAGATTCTGTATACTCGATGTAGAACTGCCAGCAACAGCACCCTCAGCTCAACAGCAGCAGCGGGAGCTTCACGGCCACCACTGCAACCATGACAACGACATCATCATCATCATCATCA